GTGTATATTGTGCTTTAAAACTTAAACTGCAACACAGGCTTTTTATAGCTTAATAAATGTACTGCAAAATGGTGCATAGCATTATATCTGCAACTAACAGTTATTAATATATTTTGTGTCAATCACTGGATCTACTAACTGTTTTAGCTCTGCCTACCTTAATATAATTAACATGAAACTCACTAGAATTAGAACAATTCTCTGTGTACTTCACATGAATCAATCATGAAAAAGAATATTTAATCACAAAAAATGTTTTACCTGCTGTATGTCTAGTGACAGACTGGCTCATTTTATGGATTCTTATATCTTGTTAGGAAACTGTATTGCACACAATGATATAACACAAATGAAGCATGTGAACTTCTGATGTAACATTTTGTTTGCGTGACTTTATTCCACCACCGCATTTCAACTGTATGTTGATCTGTAGTTAATGCTGTTTTTGTGTTTTCCCTCAGCTACGCCGTGTCAGACAACACTTACCGGGCCATGCGGACTGAGAGGAAGGACCAGTGTATTCTCATATCGGGCGAGAGTGGAGCAGGTAAAACAGAGGCCTCTAAGAAGATCCTCCTCTACTACGCAGTCACCTGCCCCACTAATGATCACATGGCTACCCTTGGTGACCGCCTTCTGCAGTCTAACCCTGTTCTGGAGGTACAGCCACTATCAGACTGATTTGTCTTTCACAATATAAGATATTATGTCTTTTATCTGAGAAATCTGAATTACCTTTGTTGTTTATAAATACTTATAAATAAACTGTTGCTTTTTCCTGGTGGATTTTGTTATTCCATTGTTGCTCTTGATTTCACTTCCTCCCTCCAATTTCCTGGCTCTTTTGCTTTGCGCAGGCATTTGGCAATGCCAAAACACTGAGGAATGACAACTCCAGCCGCTTTGGAAAATACATGGATGTCCAGTTTGACTTTAGGGTAAACACTCTCACTCTATAGAAATCATATGTGCTTACATCATACTGATAACTGTAGTTAGTGTCAGTTGATGACGCTCAAACATTTAAACCTGCTTTTAACAGTCGCTATCTGCTCCCATCTTTTTCTGTAACTTCTCCTAGGGGGCACCAGTGGGCGGTCACATCCTGAACTACCTGCTGGAGAAATCCCGTGTAGTACACCAGAACCATGGTGAAAGGAACTTCCACATCTTCTATCAGCTTCTGGATGGAGGGGATGACAACCTGCTTAACACACTGGCTCTGGAAAGAAATCCTCAGAACTACCACTATCTGGTCAAGGTGTGTATGTGGTGCAGACGTTTGATGAATTACTTGTTTTCAAACCGAGGTCTATGCAATTATACCACCAGCTGCAATGTAATATTGAATTGTCTTGTTCAGGGCAACTGTCCCAGACTCAGCTCTGTCAGTGACAAGAATAATTGGAAAGTTGTGATGAAGGCCCTGCCTATAATTGGCTTCACCGAGGAAGAAGTGCAGGTCGGTAACAATCACAGCATTGAATGACTGTAATGAATGCAGGTGACAAACTGTTTTGTTTGTCACTCTTGTTCTCTGGTTTACCACATTTGCCACATTAAAGTGGAACACTTTAAATGGTAGAGTCATAGGAATGGATCCAAGACACGCTTTTACTTTTTTAATTATATAGGGAATATTGTTTTTTTACATTGGCCAAACACCACATTTCTTATTATCATGAACACATTCAGAACAACTCTATAACTCTCTATGAATAAAATAGTGATAGTGATAGTTTTAGTAGCAATTTTTAATGTAATTTTTACTTCTTCTCAAGCATTTGTGGTGACCATTTTGAAAACTTATTCACTTACAAAGCAGAATTTCTCTGGCTCTGACTGTATTTTAATGATCATATTCTCAGTGTCTGTCACGACATTCATTTAGTTATTAAAACAGATGTTCTATGAGGTTGTTGTTAACGTTTCTTCCTGTGTCTGACCTCAGAAATTGCTGAATATCATCGGCAGTGTTCTCCACCTGGGAAACACTCAGTTTGGGGAAGGGGAGGAAGGAGAAACTTATATCACCACTGAGACTCAGATAAACAATCTTGCGAAGGTCAGACCAGTCCCACTGCTATTATTTGATGTTCAAATATGCACAAAATCTCCCAAAAAGGCATCACTCAGAACAGATGTGTTGTTGTTTTCCAGCTGTTGGGTGTTGATGGCTCGGCCCTCAGGGAGGCACTCACTCACAAGAAACTCACTGCCAAAGGAGAGGAGGTGACGTTTTCGTCCTCGTCCCTCATGTTTTCAGCTGTTTGGCGTGTATTGTACGATTTAAAAATGTTTTCATCGTACTTGCTTTTGCACTTTACAGATGATCAGCCCACTAAATTTTGAGCAGGCAGTGTCTGCCCGTGATGCCTTAGCCAAGGTCGTGTATGGTCGGACCTTCACTTGGTTGGTGGAGAAGATCAATCAGTCCCTGGCTCTGAAGGTGCAGTAACACTTCTAATAATATCTCAAAAACAACAGTGGGAATTTCAGCATCATGTTGTGGGGCAGTTGCAGTGTTGTACCACTGATTGCAGGCTGTGTACTTTATGTGTCTCACAGGATGAACTCTACCAGAGCAGTAAGGGCTCCTCCGTTATAGGGCTTTTAGATATATATGGCTTTGAGGTCCTACAGCACAACAGGTATGAGTTTGAGTTATAGTAATTAGTTAATTAATTATAAATAGTTTGTCAGTAGTTATCTCTAATGCACATGGCTTTTCGCACATAACTCTAGCATGCACTAGATCTAATTTTCCTTATATTTCTGCCTGCAGTTTTGAGCAGTTTTGCATCAACTACTGCAATGAGAAGCTCCAGCAGCTGTTTATTGAGCTCACTCTGAGATCTGAGCAGGAGGAGTATGAGACAGAGGGAATTGCAGTAAGTCCTTTGTTGTTTTAATAGTCAAAACAAGTAAGTTTGATGTATTTATTAATTAGATTTTCATGCTAACAAAAAGGTTTCGCTCTAATTTCAGTGGGAGACAGTGCAGTACTTTGACAACAAGATCATTTGTGACCTGATAGAGGAAAAGCACAAAGGCATCATCTCCATTCTGGTGCACACAACAACTCTTATGTTTGTCTCTGTATACGGTGTTGTCTTACCTTCTGTCACCGCAAGTTAAATAGTGTGACTGTTTTTTCCAGGATGAGGAGTGTCTGAGACCTGGAGAGACCTGCGATGTGTCCTTTTTAGAGAAATTGGAAGACACACTGGGTGGCCATCCCCATTTTGTCACGTAAGCATCACCTCATATAATTTTTACACACAGTACAAAGACTCTTGTAGGTACAGCTTCTTATATCAGCAAGTTTGTGTATAAGGGCTGTCACTCTTAACAAACAAATGTGCCACATATAAAACTTGCTATTTTATCGGTGATGACATTTTTACAAATTAAACAACGTAACCTTTTAGCTTATCAATAGGGCATGCCATAGGTCAAGCTGATAGTGGAGCTCCCTCTGCTGGATCACAAGGCAAAATACTTCAAATGGTCTGTTTTAAAATAAACAGGAATTTGAAAATTAACCAGTTATGAACACATTTTTTTAATTTTGAGTAAAAAGTGACTACTTTGAATGTCTTTCAGGCACAAGTTGGCAAATGGAAAAACCCGAAGGGTGATGAGTAGGGAGGAGTTCAGGCTGCTGCATTATGCTGGAGAGGTCAACTACAATGTCAATGGTAAGATGTAATCTATCACAAGATAAATCAGTTGACTCTTTTTATTCATGCATTCATTCCCTTGACGCAACATTTGTTTCAGAGTGTGTCTCATAACCAGCTGATGCAGTGCATTTGTTTGTCTCTTTTAGGTTTCCTCGACAAGAACAATGATTCGCTGAACAGGAACCTGAAAGAGGTGAGCATAATGAAAACAAGGCAGAGCCTCACCACAACCTTTAAAAACCTCTGTGTGTCTCTTGTCATTTCTTGAGTGAAGAGGAAGAGGGACATGTTGACATGTGGTTGTGTGGTGTGTGTGTTCAGGTCATGTGCCAGTCAGAAAACCAGATCCTAAGGCACTGCTTCCGCAGAGAGGAAGTGATAGACCAGAAACGCCCAGAAATGGTGAGAATACCCCCCTATCTCTCTCTCTCTCTC